GGGGAGAGAGGTGCAGAATCGGTCTCAAATAAGGGGGAAATAGCTTTTTAAATTTTTTTATTGTTTATTTAATTTATTATTATTATTACTTTAAATCCTCACCCAAGGATATTTTTTCCAGTGCTTTTCAGAGAGAATGGAAGGAGGGGGGAGAGAAAGAAACATTGGTTACCCCCTGCACTTGCCCCAACTGGAGCCAAACCTGCAACCGAGATATGTGCCCTTGGCCAAAATCGAATCTGAAGGCCGACGCTCTAACCACTGAGCCAAACTGGCCAGGGCAGCTTTTTTTTTATTAAGTCATTTTCAGGTTTATCTGTTATCTCACCTCATAAAAGAGTTTGAAAGCTTTTCATGGATGTCTTTTTAAAAAAATATATTTTAAAGTTTTTATTTTATATTATTTACAAAGTAAAAGTTTTCCCCTTAACTTAAATGTTGAGCCACTGTAGATAGTAATCACTCCATCAAACTTGATTTATAAATAATAACCCATCAGTTTGATGGTAAGAATTTGGTGCCCTGACTGGGAATCGAACCCAAGCCCCTTTGTCTATGGGATGAACACTCTAACCACAGCAGCCAGGGCATGGATGTCTTTTGATAATTAAAAAATATGCTAGACATGAAGATTTTTAGAATTTTCTTCTGTCAGGAATTTTTTAAAAGTTTAAAGTGTAGAAGATGGAAGTACTTACATTCGTTCAGGGTGCTAAGAAAAGGCGATCTCTGCCACAGAAGCACTTACACTGCAACAATGGAATAAAGGGTCTGACTGCTCTCCAAGTGGATCAGAGAAAATCGCTCAGCACAAAGAGAAACCTTGAAACTCCTGTAGCGAGAACCGTAAATGGGCCGACACACACTGAGTCGCCCATATAAATGTACACCAGGCAGAGAAACCAGAAGAATGGCCCTCTCCTAGTCTCTGGGGCCCAGTAATGTAATCTCTTAAAATTAAGGGTGTTTCCTGGGCGTACTTAGGAAAGACTAGCCGAGCACTTGCCTCGGCCAGGGTGTTAAGTTGGCAGGAATGTTCGGTTCCTCAGGTGCTGACTCCGGTCGGGAATGCCTGCCTTCTGCATGGTAAGTAAAGCCCGTGACCATTTCAGCCCCACGGGAGCTCATGGATGATTGTGTGTCGTTCCAGGATAAACGCCGTGTCCAATGCTCAGGTGAGAGGCGACAGCTACGAAAGCGGCTGTTTGGGAAGATCAGGTAAAGGCCCACGAGGGCCCCCAGCAGGCAGAGCGGCCTCTAGGGAGCCTTCCCGAGGACTGGCAGCGATCGCGCGGAGCGTGTAAAAGTTGACTTTAAAGAAAGTTTTAGTGTTATTTGAATCCTTAAGAAAGTGGAAGTTTCTGCCGGGAGTGGCCCTTTGTGTCAGGTAATACTGCCCAGAGGGTACAGAGAAACGGTTCCCGCGCAGAACCGGTGGTGTGGGCTCCAGGCTGCTCCGCCGGGCTGGTGGCGGGTGGGTCTCACACCCCGGGGATGACCAGCAGCGCCGCCTGCGGACGCGGAGCGCAGCGAGGGCCCCAGGGACTCAGACTCGGCGGCGGTCCCCGGCCGCCCTGCTGGCCCTGTCACCACCCGCACGCTGCACCAGCGCAGCCTCGGGGAACGTGCTGTGTGTCCACCTAGAAAGCGTCCTTTTGGAGCGTGAGTTCCTTTGGATCGCCACTCAGCGCTGCTTTCCCTTTCCTCGGGTGTGACACGTTCGCCGGAGCCCGGGAGCCTGTTCCGCGGAGTCGGAGTCGCGCTCCGGGGGAAGCGCGGGCGGGAAGCTCTGTTTCCAGCCTCCGAGGCCCGGGCGGGGCACTTGTGGCTTGGCTGGAATTTGGGGTAGGGTTTTGGAGATTAGGTGGGGATTTTGAAAGATGATTAGGGATATTAGGAAATACAGAAAACTTAGTGTGAGCCAGAGACTGTCCCGAATGCTTTACACACACTGACTCACCTGTCACCATGTTCCCACGAGGCAGGGGCTCTCACTGTCCCCACTGTTAGACCAAGGAACCGACGCACAAAGAGCTTAAGTGACTCGTCCGAATTCACAAGCGAGGGAGCGGTGGAGCCCGACTGAGCTCTGCATTGAGCTCTGACCGTCCGGCTCTGCACCCGGTCGCCAGCCACCCTGCGGTGCTCTTTCTAGGCGAGGAGCCTTTGGTCTCTGTCTGGTGTAGTCATGCGTATGTGTCAGCTTGATTGAGCATAATTTATATAAAATATAAAATAAGACTCACTGATTTAAAGTGTACGGTGTGGTGAGTTTTGACAAACGTATGCCGTGTGTCACTGCCACCACATCACGGTGAGAGCATTTTCCTCCAGAAAGTTCCCTCGCACCCCTTGTGCTTAATCCTGCCCCCCCCCACCTGCCTTCTCTCCCTATAGCGTGGCCCTTTCGAGAATTTCATATAAAAGGAGTGATAAAGTAAGAGTCATAACACTTTACACCAAATAAAGAAACTCTGAAGAGCTTAGCTTTTTAAAAAGAGTTTTAATTAAAATTTGTTTTTGGTGGTCAGAGCCCTTCGCATGTGATCTGCTCCGAGCACGTTTTAAGTGCACAGCACAATGTGGCTAAGTCCAGGCACGGTGTTCGGCAGGTCCCCAGCACGCACACGCTCCTCTAGGGGGCCGGTGACAAAGGACAGGCAAGCCTAAGTTAAAAGTGCACGTGTGTGTGTGTGTGTGTGTGTGCGCGCGCACGTGTGTACACGTGTGCCCAAGCCTTGTGCCCCGGCCTCGGCAGGTGGGGTCGGGACTGGGGGAGAGCACAGACCGAGAAGCACGTATTAGCGAGTGAAACGTGCAGAGAGCACAGGATAATTAATGTGATGATTTTTCTTTAAAGACTAATGTTACTGGGAACTATTTTCTTTGGAAAATGTCATTGTAACTTACCTGAATTTTTAGCTTAAAGGCAGGACTTGTATTTGCCCCGGGTGTCTGGATCCAGAGTCCGTGCTTCTAGCCTCGCTGAGTCCTCACATCCCAGTCCATGACTGTTCCCTGCGCAGCTGCGTGTTTCTGGGCGGGGCACCCAGTGCGGGCTCTGGGGGGCTTCAGACATTGAGGGCGGGCTGTTCGGTGGGCTTGCCCCCGTGTCGCACCGTCTCGAGTGATGGCAGGCGTTGAACACTGGCCCTGACGCACTCGCGGCCTCGCTCCTGCGCGGCGACGGCCGGCTGAGCGACATCTGCTGGTTCTAATAGGCGGTCACTTTGATGATATATACAGCAGGGTAAATTTTCAGGTAGGGTTTAACTCATCGACCTAGTCAAATAATTACTCGTGGAGCTTGCCTAGCTTAGTTCAGTTAGCTATTAGGTCTCTAGCCAGGAGAAGGGTCACTTCCCTTTTAGTTTTTTAAAATCTTCGTTCCCGACCCGTTACAGCAGGTGCACGCACAGCAGCGTTAGGCTAGCAGCGTTTCTAGGGCTTCGCCTTCCTGGGACAGCTGCCGAAGGCAAGCTCACGCGCCTGTTCTTCACGCAGGTGCTCGAGTCTGGCTCTTCATTGGTTTCATGCTGATGTTCGGGTCACTCATTGCTTCCATGTGGATCCTTTTCGGTGCATATGTTACCCAGAGTAAGTATCTGCTCCTCCTTTGCTCATAGGGGACATTCAGATGTGCCCTGTATGTTCGGCCTGGTCTGTTTCTCCCCCTGGAGTCGGTTAGTTTCATTCTCAGGCCCCCTGACGCTGCGAGTCCGTGTGAAGGTGCAGGGCGGTCAGTCAGCGGGAGGGCGGCTGGGACGCGCAGCCGCCTCCAGAGCTCCTGACGTCCTCCCTTGCCCCGGGCAGCAGGCTCTGCGCTAGGGGCCCATTCCTGAGGGCGTGGCAGTAAAGCAAGAAAGCCGTGCAGGTCCCCAGTCCCTCCTGCACGGCTCTGAAACCCCAGAGTGCTCACAGCCACTCTCCTCGTTACCAGTTTGGCAGCAACACCAGACCTAAGAGACGTGGGCTCATTATAGTCTTCGTTCCACTTAATCCGTCTTCCAGTGAATGTGGCTGCATTTGATTGTGGATGCTGGTCCATAGCTGGCTGGGTTTGCTATGTAATATTTATACCCAGTGTTACCATAGCTAGAACCATAGCAGTTACTTAGACAAAAGGAAAACCTAATAAGTTTGTTGTCTTTTTTTTTAAAATCTTCACCCGAGGGTATTTTTTCCATTGCATTTTCAGAGAGAGTGGAAGGGGGGCAGAGAGAGAAACATCGATGTGAGAGAGAGACATCAGCTGGTTGCCTCCAGCAGGTGCCCTGACCGGGGCCGGGGATGGAGCCTGCAACCGAGGTACGTGCCTTTGGCCAGAATGGACCCTGGGACCCTTCAGTCCGCGGGCCCACGCCCTGCCCACTGAGCCAAACCGGCCAGGGCAAGTTCACTGTCTCCTCTCCAGAGTGAGAGCCGCCCTTCGTTTTGGGCGAATGAGACGAGCATTTTCTTATTTCAGGTTCACTGTTGGCGCCTTAGAGTTAAGGAGTCGCGGCAGTGCTGTGCGAGGCGCCGAGCGCGTCCCAGGAGGCGCTCACTGACGCCGCCAGGGCCTTCTGTAACCTCCTGTTGTGCTTTGTGCAGATACTGATGTTTACCCAGGGCTGGCGGTGTTCTTTCAAAATGCACTTATATTTTTAAGGTAAGTTGCCTGATTCCTTCACCACACTTAGAACACCTGCAGAAATGTCACCTTTCTTGTACGAGCAGCATGTGCGATGGGACGCGTGTGAATCCCTTAGATTAGTTTCAGTGCATGGAAGGCGGGCCTTCTGCACAAGAGCCTGCTCCCTCTTTATTACTTTAACTCGCTGACGGGTCACGAGACAACTCGCGTCTGCACTTACGTTAATTTCAGTCATTTTAAGGTCTGAAAGCAACGTAGAGTTTTAAAAGAGCGGAAAAGTAGCCAGTCGCACGGGCGAGTTCTGGCTCGAAATAGCCGGTCAGCAAGGTGCTGACTGAAGCACCAGGCGGTACCTGGCGCCCCATGCTCAGGCGTCACTGCTCCCCGGAGAGACCCAGGCTGCTGCTTCCACTCACACACACTATGGCCTGTGTGCCAGCGAGGCCCGGTGTCTAAAGCACGTGTCTGGGTCCCTTCTGTCCCCCTTGCGCGGCTGATGTTTCCGATCCACAGCCAGCGCCCGGCCCCAGGGTGCCCCGTCTCACTCCTGCCCCCGCACTTTGCGGGACAATCCCGGCTCTTGTTTTGCAGCTCAGTTCAGCCACCGCTGGCTCAGGAAAGCCTTGGCCTCTCACTAGGTCAGACCCTCCGTTTCGCTCTCTTGGGACCACGTACCCGCCTTTATAGCGTTTTTTCTGCAGCGGGGACCTGACGGTCTCCCTCAGTAGACTCTTGGCTCCATCAGCGCGCGCACCCGTCTGGTTCTGGCTCGGTCGCGTCCCCAGCGCCGGCGGCACTCGCTGCGCAGCGCCGACCTGTGGAGTGAGCGGGGCTGCAGCCTGGGCGGCCTTCGGATGCTTCAGTCGCCGCAGCTCAGACACAGGCCCTGCGAAGGGAGCCCCCCCACCAAGTTCCCGTCCAACAACTTCCAGGCTTTAGGGCAGCTGTCAGCTACGCTGGCCGGCAGGGCCAGCCGGCTGCTGGGCAGGGCAGAGCAGACACACCCGCACTCTGCACTGTAGGAGCCGAGGCAGAGGCGTCGGGTCTCCCACGCACGTTAGAAAGTGAGTTTTCTGATGCCCGTTGCGTGTGCTTTTCCTCATGGTTTATTTTACTATTTTATAGCACTCTTATCTACAAATTTGGGAGAACTGAAGAGCTGTGGACCTGAGATCACCTCCTAAGTCACACTTTCCTCTGTCACGTTCTATTTGTAGATACGTTTTTTTATCTTTTAATATAGTTTACACATTGCCAAACGGAACAGACTGTACATTAAATGTTGTGTTTCTTTCCACTTTTATGCTCTGAATTTGGAAATAGTTTTATGAGTTTTCTGTTTGTTTTTTAATGAATAGATTGTTAATATGTACATAAGACCATGCAGATGGATGGTGAGTGCCAGTCTCTCATTCCCGACTTAGGGCTCGCCTGGCTCCTGAGCCAGGGCTGCATCATGTCATTGTAGAGTTAGCGACTTTGTTTCAGCATCTCCAAATTCCGGAGATGTTCGAGAAAGCACAGCTCCGTGTATCTGAAATAAGCCCGAGCCATTAAGAAGGGTATTTCAGCAAGTGGTAATTTATTTTGTCTTAAAAATGAGATTTTTTTAAAGGAAACATGTTTGTTCTTGTGTATTAAAGAAGCGTACTTTTATATGAAGATTTTTTAAATGCCCGAAGGACTCGTTTGAAAGCCTCTTTTAGGAACAGCTCCTTCACTGTGACTGTGTTCGAGGAGGGGTGGTGCTCGGGAGGAAAGCCGGGTTTTGTGTGGTTGCCGTGGAGAGACTGGGGGGCGGCTCCGCAGCAGGCGTCTCATAAAAGCAGCTCAGAGGCTCCGTCTCCTGGGTTCTCTCGACCGCTCTCTGACTGCAGATTCAGCTCCTCGCAAATCCGAGACAACTGCATGAGCCACGTGACAAAAGTGGAATAATTAGTTTCATGATAAAGCCCTTTTTTCAAAGGGAATTCTCGCCACCTGGTGAAAAATTAGGAGTTTCGTCCGCTTAGTTCCCACTGCAGGCCTCTGCCCCAGCTCTCGAGCTTTGGGGGAGCACTTCCTGCAGATAGGTCTTTACCCTGAAAGTTCATCGTCCAAACACCTCCTTTGCTGGGTTCGAAACACGCCTTTGCCCTGGGCCTGTTCCTGCGAGCTTTCCATGGCTCGCTGGGCCTTTATTGCTGCTGTTGGTTTCCTTGGTTCTGCGGCTTAGGGTGAGGGATTTGATGGAGCCTTCGCGAGAGGCAGGATGACAGTGGCATCACCCACAGCCCCGACCGCGGGCCTCCCGCGGCTCCCCTCACCCCCCCCAGGGGCGCACCGCGAGGCGGCGCTGACCGCTGGGCCCCGGCCAGGCGCCGTCCTGTTTAATGCTCTTCTTTGGTGTCGCTTTTCCCGCAGAATGTCAGTGAAATTGTCTTGCTTCCAACGCACTGTAAGACTAACGACCTTTTCCATTCTCCTGTGACCTGTTGCAATAAATAATTACTCCTCGCACATCCTGTTATTAAATCTATTGGAGAAAGCAAACTCTAAAAAATTGGTGAGCTGTTCATTTTTTAACTATTCAAATGGACTCCATCAAAGAAGCCGTTTGTCTTTACGAAAGGAGTGGAGGGGGCTGTTCCGTGACCTGCCCGCCAGCTGGACCTGCGAGAATGGGGACTGCTGGCAGCCGACCCCCTGCAGACCGAGCGTCGCCCATGCTCATCCTGACAGCACCTCCCCAGGCTTGTCCCGACCTGGTCCCGCATGGAAAGGAGTCTCTCGTACCTGGTAGCGTTCATGTTCTAGTGCCGTGACTGTCCCCCCACCCCCCACGACACTGATGACACAATGCTGGCCTGCGAGACTGGCCTCGGCTGCGGGAAACCCCGCAGGCCCTGTGGGCCACCTTCAACAGGACGGGCTGTGAGTCCGCAGACGGGCCCAGGCCCAGGCCCCGTGGTAAAGTTGGGGGAATGGTGTGGTTGTGTGGGAAGGACCTGCGCGATCCCCGAGGCTGCCACAGACCGAGTGCTAGCCCGTCCCGCGCCAGAAGACGTGGAAGGTGCGAGATGCAGGCGACGCCTTCCTGTCGTAGGGCCCCGTTTCGTAAGGCCCTTTGCTGCTCTACTGCGACCACAGACACTTACCGGCAACTTTCTGTGTCCCCTGCGTAGTCCTGCTCCCTTCTCAGAGTGGAGGGGGAATGTTTGTCTGGGGAGGGTCAGACCCCTGCCCCAGGCTGATGGGGCAGGGATGGTGACTCAGGCTCCCCCCCCCCACGGGAACCCCTGCGCTTCCCCGGCTGCTCTAGACCCCAGTTCCTCCAGGAAAAGGGCCGTGGTCAGGAAGCTGGGACACCGGCTGAACAGGGTTAAACATTTTTTCCCTTAAAGTCTTTTGTGAGAGCTTCCTGTAGGTGTCCGTTATGGCATGTTTTCCACACCCGAGACTTGGAAATGCCCCCCCCCCGCCCCCGGGAGGAGCACTGAGAAATAGAACTTGGGGAAGCGGCTGCTATGGTGGCTTTAGAAGGACAGGCAGGACGCAGGGAATTAAGAGGGGAGGGAGCTTAGGTGTGGATGCCACCGGCCTCAGGGAAAGCCCGTGGCCAGCCTCACGTGCTAGACATCCCTGGTTTGGGAGCTGGGATTCTTGGGGCTCTACCCATTTCTGTTTAGGTGGGTTTACTTTTCCCTAAATCTGGCACTGCCCCTTGTTAGCTACGTGGCCCTGAAGCTCTTTGCCCATTTGTGGTGTTTGGAATTGCGAGCAGCACAGTGACCAGTAGATGTGTCCCCCCCCTTTCCCATGGCCCTGCCTGAAGGGTTGTTGCCTTCCCCATGGGATGGCTTTGATGGCTTTTTCACCTTTTGTCACAAGGTGCCGTGCCACCTTAAAAAAAAGTTATATCTGGTTTTTTGTTTGGAACCTTCCAGTGCTTGCTTTTTTGTAGCAGGTTAAATCGTTTTACATAGGGTTTCAGGCGACACTCTATGCCTCAATTCTTTCAGCTGTAGCAAATAGGCTGTCTTAAATTTCTGCAGGTGGGTTGGCAGGGCAGGCTTCCCAGACCCTTGCTGGACGCCAGTGCAGACAGCAGCCCACCTCTGACCTGGGGCATCTGGGCTGCTCCCGCCCGAAGTCCAGACAGAGACCGGAGACCTCTCGGGAACAGTGGCATTACAGCTCATTTCCAACTTCCTAATCCACATGCCAGAGAGTGATTCAGGACAATGTTAAGTGAATTACCTCCTGTTATGAAGTCATGAGACTAAGTCTTTATTTTGAAATAACCTCAGATTTATGTGCAGAGAATTCCTGAATAACCTTGAGATTCCCCAAATGTCACCTTTTTACTACATTATCTTTAGTAGATTTTTTTTTTCCCTGAGGTGTTTGACAATATGCTCTCATGTGAGGCCTTTCTACCCTTAAATATGCCTGTTTATTTCCCCTAAATCAGATACCAAAAGCAGGAAGTCAACACCAACCCAGCACTAAGCACTTGCCACATGAACGTGCTTTACAGCATTGAAAAATACTATAAAAAAAAAAAGTATCTTACTCAAAAAATTCCTGTCCTTTCCCCTCCTGTTTAATAGGCCAGCCCCACACCTACTGGGGATGGTGGAGTTACTGGGTTAGGATGGCGGAGGGTCTGCAGGAGTCTTGGTGACCCCGGTTTGGTGTGTCGGCCCTTCCCCTGTAAGGCAATAACCTTGGAGAGCCTGGCCCTGGAAGGGTGCCTGGACCCAGTGCTGGTCCTTGGCTTGGTCTCTGAGTCTGTCACCAACTTAAACCACTGCCTTCAACTAAGAAGGGCCTTTCTGAGACTGAGCCACTGCAACCTGCTGCCCCAGGACACTAGCTCAGTTCCATCCGAACCCAATCCAGCCTTGTCAGGACCGGGTCCCCAGAGCCAGCCTGCCTGCCCAGCAAGCTGTACCCCCTTTTACACAAGGCGGCACACAGGGCATTACTTTAAACATTTCTGACTTTCTGGCAGAATTGACCTATCCCCCTTTCTGCTGGGCTCAAACTCTTAACCTGCTCTCTCTCCCCACAGGCTGCACCCCCAACCCAGCAGGGGGAGCTCTTCTACCTGGAGTTTCTTAATCCCAGGCAGGTCCTTAACCTAACCAGCTAACTCTTCCTCTAAACCGGTGCCAACTCAAGGTGCACCTCAGAGATCAAGTAGATGCCTCACAGGACTTGTCTGGGTGCGCGCTGTGGGTGGGTGTCCTTTTATCTCCTGTCACCCTGGATGGCAGAATACACCGTGCTGTCAGAAAGTCGGCCCAAGAGCCAATTCCCCACCAGCAGCACAGACCCCCAACTGAGGGAGAGACGGAGGGAGAGGGAGAGGGAGAGCAAGGGGGGGGAGGGGGAGAGAAAGGGAATATACCTGTAGTTGGCCGTCTTCTTCCCATTGTGAAGGTCAGGCTGCCAGCAGGGGCTTCTTTCTAAAGCAGACTTTATAGCCACTGTGTTGCTTTGGTTGCGTGTGTGTGTGGCGAGGGTGTTGGTGAAGCTACACATCCATTTCCTAAATTCTAAGAGTCATATAAATGAGTTTTAGCCCATGTCCTCGGAACAAGAGAGCCCATCAGAACTTGCAGTCAGCAGATTTGAGTGCCGGGTGTTACTGTCACCAGCTGATTCGTGTTACTGCCCACAAGCCCTGCCTCGGTCAGCCCATGTGACTGTTACATGAAACGAGGCTGATGGAGCTTCTGAAATCCCCAGTACACCTTTTCAAGGAATCAGGTGGCCCACGTAGGAAGTCACTTGCTGAGTGACCACAAGGCCAACTTAGCTCTGCTGGGGTGTTACTAAACCAAAGTTTAGATATACTAATTCAAAAAACATGAAACTTTGCAGAAAATAGGCCAAAATAAGGTGGCGAAGTGGAGAGGAAAAGCCTCACATAGACTTTTTAAAAAGTTGTTTTAGTCTTTTATTTCTAGTTTGGAAAAACAGTTAAATTACTATGAAAATATTTACAGGATGAATCACATTTTAAGCTGAGAGACGGGATGTGAAGGGCCACTCAGTGTCCCTGATAGGACAAGTGACGAAATCTACCCAGGGAGCCTCAGCTCACTTGTGAGTGTCAAGGAGAGGGGCCGGTCCCGTCAGCCAGGTCCAACCAACGATGAACAGCACACCAGCGGGGCGCCAGAGCCATTTGGCTAACATAATTTCATTCCTTTTTAGTGTTTAAGAGAAACCTTCATTTTGGGGGGATGTCTTTGTAGAATCCTTCTAGAAAACTCGTAAAAAAAACAACAAACAAATATTTCTTCCCCAGGAGGCCTGCTGTGTCTCCAGGCAGGGACGGCCCCGGGCTCGGGAAGTCCTGGTGGGAACAGCAGTGCCGGCGGCTCAGAGTCCTGCTCCCACAGGCTGGGGCAGACCAGTGCTTTAGTTCAAAGTGCTTTGGAGAGCATCTTCTACTCCTTCTGTGGCAACGAGATGACAGACACAGAGTCCCAGACATCCTCCTTAGGCGAGCTGTCACTGTCCAGGGCCTCCAGGATGGGCTGAGCCGGGTCCTTTAAATACTGGGAAAGGTTGAAAACCAACACCGTGATTAGTTTACCAGCTCAAAACGCCAGACCTTAGACTTTCGTTTTAGTTGGTACCATCATGTCTTAGGTAACTTCCTATTTGTCCACCAAGGAAACAACTAAACCCTGACCACTGCCCAGCCTGTTGCCTCACAGCTCTGACACCAGCCAGGGCCCAACCACCGTCACTCTTGGGAAAAGCCTGCCCTGCCTTGCTGCCCTGGGCGCAGGCCTGTGGGTGACTCATCCTAAAGGTCTCCAATTCTAGTTCTCAGTGAAGGAGTAACGGGACCTCGGTCAGCAACAGTGGGGACAGAGAGCGGGCTTGCTGGCTGGCAGCCGGCGGTTAATGGCTGGGCCCTGAGGACAGAGTGGAGAAAGTGACAGGCTGGAAAGTGACACTTCTCAGTGCCCAACTGTCCTTTCTCCTGCCCGCCTCTGCTTCAGGCTCAGCCTCAAGCTCACCAGGGTGCAGAGGAGCCAGTGCCTGGCGCTTGGAAACGCTGGCACTTGGAGCTGGCCAACTAGGGAACAGCTCATGGGTCCTCAGGAACCTCAAAAATGTAAGTGAAATCGGATCCGTTATTTTCACGTAACATCAGTGGCCTCTGAGAGATGATTTTCACACTTTCCCAGGAAAGTGAACCGAAAGACTTCAGGTTTTAGCTTCAAACCCCAGAGGGACAACTAGCAGCAACCTGACTGACCGGGGTGGCTCTGCTGCAGGGGGAGCACGGATGCGGGAGAACTCCCAGACCCCCGAGACTATTAACCGGGCAAGGTTTGAGGGTGTTTTGTTTTTTGTGGTAGGAACACCTAACGAGTTGTGCCCTCCTAACTGACGTGAGCAACGCAAATGCAGTCCTGACTACGGCGGGTGCCGACAGCGGGTGCTGGCGCTCACTCATCCTGCGTAACTGAGACTTCAGGCTCAGAACAGCAACTGCTGGGTCCCTCCCGGCCCCTGCAGCCACCATTCTCCACTGTCTCTACCAACCTGACTATTGTACCTCAGGCAAGTGGGGCCACATGGCTTTTGTCTTTTTGCCACGGGCTGATTTCACTGAGCATAATGCCCTCAAGGCTCATCCACTCGGCCTGCAGGTGTTGGAATCTCCTTTTCGAGGCTGAATAATGTTCCGCCGTGTGTGCAGAGTGCATCCCATTTGTTTATCCGCTCACCCTCCGACAGGCACTGGGCTGTTTCCCCCCCTTGGCTGTTATGAATCAGGCTGCTGTGCACACGGGACAGAGAGAACCCTGCACTACTTTTAACTCGAACCTCTGTGTCCCCAGCTCTGCCCCCTGCTGTCCTGTGCGGTGCTAGCGGGGGGCGTGGGGCGCGACACGCCTCCCACGAGGACGCGCGCACACGTACCTCCTCTATCTGCACCGGGATGCCCGGCGGGGAGTGGAACCAGTGCTTGATCAGGACTCTGTACTTCAGGATCAGGAAGAAACAGGCCCCTGCCAGCCCCACCAGCGACAGGAAGGTCCCCACGGCGATCAGGACCGCTTGCTGGGGCTTGGTGGAGGCTAAGGGGATAACACAGAGTGAACGGGGGGACGAGCCCCACGGGGCACAGACATCGGGCAGTTCCCTTCTGCCCGCTGTTTCAGGGGTGTGTGTCCCCCC